CGTGTGCGTGCGTGCCTAATATCCCGAGAGGAGAATGGAGGAGAAGGGACTGCAGCGTGACCATTCCCCCTGGGAGGTGATTTCTCGCTTTCTGTCTCTATGTCTCTTTCTGTCTGTCTGGCGAGCGCACATGCCCTATAGTGAAAAAATTAAATAAATAAAATAATTCCTTGAAAAAAAAAAGTTTATTATTGTCCATGAGAGAGAGAAACAGAGAGAGAGAAAGGCACCCCAATAGAGTCTTTGTAGTGTGATCCACACCCAGACTCAGCCAGCCTGGCCCATGGGCCCACACATGCTACTGGCATGCACAGGGAGGTCCCAGGATGTGAACCCAGGACCCTCTCATGTGGGTTCAGATGGGTTACCTGCACTGCTGCCTGGCCAATAAGCCTAACTATGGGTGAATTGGACACCAACCCAGATGCAGGGAATACAGCCGCCAGCAAAGCAGCCTGGGCCCCCATGCAGTCTGTGACTACTTATGAGTGTGTAACTGTGATCTGTGACAGCAGTGAAGTAGAAAGTCCAGAGTAGCAGTGAAAGGGACAAGGAGCATGTCCCGACCTAGGCTGGGAGAACAGGAGGGGTCTCCTGACTATAAAATTGGGAAGATTTGTAAAAATTAACCTGGAGAATAGGGTGAGAGCGAGTGGTATTCCAGGCCCCAGAACAGGCCGTGCCAAGGCCCTGAGGCCTGGAGGGAGCTTGGTGACTCACAGTACTGAAGGACACCTGCGTGATCAGAAGGGTCTAGCCAGCACTCACCAGTCTTTCGGGGACATTTGTTAAGATATGAGTCCACTTTTTTTTGAGTAGGTTTTTGCCATAGGACTCGTGCACTTGACAGGGAGACAGAGAAACAGAGACAGGGAAAGTGAGAAATCACCCCCCACCACCACCCCATTGGGGATACCCACGCCACAATTCCTTCTCCTCCATTCTTTTGGGATTTGGGGCATGTATGCACATGCACCCAGCATGATTTTCAAGCTGCCAGGTCTGGGACAAGAACTGCATTCTGCCATGTGGACATCTAGCACCTTTACTATTACGCCACCTGCTGGCCCTAAGGTATAAGTATTCTTATGTCCTTATTTGTAAGTCTTCACTGAAAAAGTAGAAAGTCACTGTAATTTCAGCCTCCATAGCATTAACTAAAGTTGAGCGTTTGTTTAGTTTCTGTTGTTGTTTTTGTTATCACAATAGGGCACATGGGCTCACCAGAGAAAGGCAGAGAGAGAAAGAGAGAGAAAGTGAGGAGTCATCCTTTAGGGGGACGGTCATGCCGCAATCCCTTCTTTTCCATTCTCCTCTCTGGTTTTGGGGGCATATCCGTACGTGTGCTCCATGTGACATTCAAGCCACTGGGTCCAGGACTTGAACTGCATAGCCAGCTATGTGGGATTCGGCAACTTAACCTTCATGCCACAACCTGGCCTTCTCTTTCACTTTTTAAAATTTACATATGATGAAATGCACATTTCTTAACTTTTCCTTACGTTTTGACTGTTGCATAAACCAATGTAACCTCAGTCTCCAACAAAATAGAGAATATAGTATCCCAGAAAGCACTTCAAGCCCCTTCCCAGGGAGTCCCTTCCTCCAGCCCCTGACCCAACAACTGTTCTGTTTTTTGTTTTTGGGTTTTTTTTTTCCTCCCCATGGGTGGTTTTTTGCCTGTCCTCCAACTCCATAAATAGGCGCTGTTCAGGGTGCAGTCAGAGCCTCCTGTCTTCCATGGGAAGTGTTCGAGGCACCCTGCAGGAAGCGCACAGCACACGTGCATACCCCTACGCTGGGTATTTATCTGAAGCCCATTTGCAAGAGTTCTAATGGGCCTTGAGGCTTAGGTCCCTGTCTAGGCCCACTTTTTTTTTTTTTCTATTTTAATTAAGTTTATCTATTTACTTCTTCAATGAATGATACAGAGGGTCCACCTTGACACCACGATCCACCCTCAGCCTTCGCTGTCCCCAGGTTGCATGGCTGGCTTACTCAGGGAGGCCACTGGACACAAACCTGGAACCACTGTCGGTCAGCCTCACAGAGCACCTGTTTCACTGCTGGCCCCGCCTTGGGCCCCACGTGCATCTTTAACTTGGTGCCTTGCCAGGAGTATGTTGGCAGCAGGCGAGACAGTCTCAGCAACAGCACGGAATTGGCATGGCCGCCAGTGTGTCCCTGCCATGGAAGTAGTCCCACTCGGGATTGTGGCAAGGCCCACTTCACTGGGAGGCTCTGGGGCTCCCAAGAAGCCATCCTGCGGACGACAGAGAGTATCTGCATGTCATTTACCTCCAGTCTGTCTCGGGACTTTTTCTTTGACATTGGAGCCTAATTTTAGCGTTCCATTATGGCTGCCATGCTCTCTCTTCTAAGGTGAGTTTTTCGTGGTCTAGGTGGACTAGAATTTAGTAACACCCCGTGCTTAAGTTAAATGTTAGAAAGGCATTTCTCTCAGCGTTTAGATCACCCTAGACCTCGTGTATTTCTTTTGTAGCACTGGGGTCTTTCAAAGTTCCTTGACCTTGACAGGACTTCCCACGTGGCTAGTGTCACCGTCACCGTTTCCAGAGCGCCTGGACCTAATAATGGATGGCCTCAAAGCGGATCTGCTCTCTGTATATATTAACTCTTCTCTAGCTGGTTGGCAGAATCCAGTCGGACGAGTCATTTCTGCCATCTTGGCTAAGAAGAATTAAACTCTTTTTTTATTTTAAACTTGCCAGAGGGCACAAGAAAGAGAGAAAGTGTGAAAGCACCTCTTGTGGGACTTGGTCATGCCAAAACCCTTTCTCCATTTTTCCTTCCTTTTTGGGATTTTAGGGATGCAAGCACACACACACACACACACACACACACACACACACACACTGGCATGTTTTTCAAGACACCATGTCCAGGACTTAAAACACACAGTCAGCCACATGGGATCCAGCCACCTTAACCAAGACACTACCTGACTGCTCCATACCCTAGTCTTTTCCCAAAAAAACTGGCTTTTTTTTTTTTTTTTTTTTTTTTTTCCTCTTTACACTTGTTTACTTTTGTGCCACAACAGTGAGAAGAGAGCCAGCCGGTGTCATGGTGGTGAAGGTGGCTGGATCCCATATGGCTGACTTCACGGTTCAAGTCCTAGACTTGGCGGGCGCGTGTGCGTGAGTGTCTAAGATCCCAGGAGAAGAGCGGAAGAGAAGGGATTGTGGCATGGTCATCCTCCCCTAGGGGAATGGTTTCTTTCTATCTCTACTTCCCTCTCTTTCTCTGTTTCTTTCGGCTAGAGCATGTGTCCTATAGAAAATTAAACAAAAATAAGTCAAGATGATAGATAGGAATTTTTAGGTCTTTTCTTCAGAGTTTACCGAAAGATCATACTACAGATGTACATTATTTTTTAAGTTTTTGCTATAGGACAAAAAAAAAAAAAAAAAAGGCTTACTGGAGAGAGACAGAGACAAAAAGAGAGTAAAAGTGAGAAATCACCCCCTAGAGAGGATGGTTACCCACAGTTCCTCCTCTGTTCTGCTCTCAGCAGCTTAGGCAGTCAGGAATAGGCATGGTTTTCAAACTGCCAGCTCTGGCCACATGGGAGTCGAGCACCTTCACCACCATGCCACCTGCTGGCTCCATCTACAGATGCACTTTAAGGTGCTTGAGAACTTGATTAAAACCTTGTTGGGGGCGGCATCAGATGGCATGGCAGTTAAGGTGTTGACTCTCACATGGCTGATCGAGGTTCAGATCATGGAAACAGCAGCTTGAAAATCACGTGTGTGGGACCAGCAGGTGGTGTAATGGTTACATCGCTGGGTTCCTGCATGGTCAACCACAGTTCAAGTCCCGGGCCTAGTGGCTTGCTTTCTCTCTCTCTCTCTCCGTCCTTCTCTGTTCAAATTTAAATAAATAAATAAATAAAATAAAGTTAAATAAAATAATTCTTAAAAAATCACATGTGTATGCATGCGTGTCCAAAATCCCAAAAGGAGAGTGGAGGAAAAGGAATTGAGGCACAGCCACTTTCCCCAAGGGGTGATTTCTTGCTTTCCCTTTCTTTGTTTCCAGCGGGTGCATGTATCTTATGGCAAAAACCTTAAAAAAAAAAAAAAAGCCTTGTGCAAAGTAAGCGAATCTCTGAGGTATAAAAGTCACTATGTAGTGTGGGTTCTCCCAAGGGCAGGGGCATTAGTACTGGTTACCTGAACTTAAGAGACAGACTCTGAAGGAGCTAGAGTACAGATGCACGGCTGCTAAACAGATCGGGCAGAAGAATATCGTATTTTGCCTTGTCCTAGAATGTGGGTTATAAGTACCTTCATAATTTCTCTGAGAACACGAATAAATCTGTAGACCCATTCCTCAAGTCCCATACTAGTCAGGATAGGAGTATTATAAGCATTGAAGAAGTAATGAGGTTGTCTACTAGTCCTTCTCTCTCTTTCTCTCTCTTTTTCAGACATTTTTACTATAAGGCATATGTCCTCACCAGAGAGACAGAGACAGACAGACAGACAGACAGAAAGTGAGAAATCCCCCCCTGAGGGGCTGGACCACACTGCAACCCCTTCTCCTCTTGGGATTTTAGACATGCATATACACACGCAGACATGAGTTTTAAGCTGCCAGGTCCATGACTCAGGCCAGGGGACAGAAGAGGGGACAGCAGATGGCATTGTGGTTGCATCACTGCACCACTCCCACGTAGTCAACCACGGTTCGAGTCCTGGACCTGGAAGCTTGAAACTCAAGCCAGGCACGTGTGTGTGAATGCCCAAGATCCCAGAAGGAGAATGGAGGAGAAGAGATGGCAGTGTAACCATCTCTCACTCTCTGTCTTTCTGTCTCTCCAGCAACCTATAGCAAAAATCTCTCTCTTAAAAAAATTCACTAGAAAGCAGCTTCCGGGATTATAGACAGGACTTAGAATATTCTCATTCTAACCAGACAGTGTGGTTGTGCACCTTTGGACACAGTAGGGGCTGAGATCTCAGAGAACTGCCCCGTTAAAGCGAGAAACAATAAGCCCTAAGTTAAAAGCTGCTCTGGACCTGCCCTACAAAGGTTAAGGCAAGCTTCCCGGCCACATGCTGGTGTGGTGGTAAACCCTGGCGCCCTGTGAGGCTGACTCCAGGGAATGGTGTCACACTTGATTCTGGAGACCACCCTGAGGGGACTGGGCATCCAGCGGCCCGGACTCGGGGTCGTTCAGGTGCTCCCGTTGTGTTCTCGACATGGGCTGCTTGGATTGCCTCTGGGTCACTTTCTGATTTCCCCTTCTCCCCGACCCATAGACGCCCCAC